ATTCTGGCATTTCGGGCAAAATAAATTTATATTAAAAAATTGATTCAGGATTTTAATGAATCGATTTTACATTATCCAAGCCAGAATCGATTTTAATCGATAAATCGATTATAAAAACCCAGCCCTAATCTTAACCCAGTTGAGTATGTCACGTGTTGAAGACAAACAGCAACTGAAAGCTGCTGCAGTGAAGGTCTGGGAGAGTCAGGAGGACATCTAGTGATGTTCATGACTTCAGACTGTCATCACCGGCAAAGGATTTTCAACCAAGTATCAGAAATGAACATTTTATTTTCAGTTATTTGATTTGTCCAATTACTTTTGAGCCCCTGAAATGATGGGTGATGTTAAATAAATGCTTTAGTTACTTATATTTTTATGCAAAGTTGAACTTGCTGAATGAAAGCTGAGGCTGCACTTCACCTGCCTCTGAGTTGTCTTGGTCCTGATATTTATGCACCTTATATCAGCACACGTGCACCCACAGTCTGACTATACATGAAATACTGTTTTTTGTGCGTCCTCTGCATAGATGAGTGTGTGTGCGCTGAATGAAAAGGAGTTCTTGTCCTGCTGTCAGCTCCTCCTGCAGCAGTCTGAGCATCTGAGAGATGGCTGGAGCTGGGAGGCCGTCCAGGTGAGGAGGCCTCTCAGTCTTAATGTTGATGAGCAGCCTGGAGCTGTGCTTTAAAGGAGTCTGATTTTGGTGCAGGGTTCAGAAGAGGGCTACCTCAGGAAGACCGTTCTCAGGTCAGTCGTAGCTGACTGCTGCGATGCACAGAAACAGGAAGCTGCTTCGGTTTCCCCCATTTTCGCTCCCCCCATCCAAGAGCTGCAGCAACAGGAAAGGACGCAGGTGAAACTTGAGCAGCGCTTCATTTTCCAGCTGTTCTCCACTAAATATCACTAAACGTGTCTCTTCCTCCACAGCCTGTTGCTGCTACCCGTCTCCATCCTGACGGCATCACAGGCGACGGCGGCGATGAGGACGATGCGGTCTGCGTGCTGTCTGAAGGCAGCCGCCACGTGCTTCAGTACGAGTATCACATCCTGTACTCCTGCAGCTACAGTGCTCCGGTGCTGTATTTCAGAGCGTTCACCCTGGGTTAGTTACACATGAGGAGCCACTGCACACACACACCTACCCCGCGTCCTCCTGTTTGAGCAGGATACCGCAACTGATGTTGGTGATGATGCACTAACCTGTGGCAGGAGGTCGTCCCTCAGCAGGTCCCTGTGGTACAAACTCACCCGTTTTGCTCTGCTTCTTTGTCAGAGGGTCGGAGTGTGATGTTAGAGGACGTGTGGAGCTCAGTTCATCCAAACTTCAGACGCTGCCTTCAGAACAGTCCTTTGACTGCAATCACTCAACAGGTAAAGGAAGTCTGGCATCATCGTCTTTACTTTCCTCCTGACGATCCACTTACTCTTGTGTCTGTGTGCCAGGAGCATCCTCTGCTGGGTCAGCCTTTCTTTATGCTCCACCCCTGTAGGACGGAGGAGTTCCTGAGGCCTGTGCTGCAGGAGGAACAGCCCAGGTAGGGGCGCTGAACCACAGCACTGTTAACCCTTTAAA